CCCCCCCCTCTCTATGGTACCATGTCATGACTCATGAACCAGCTATTCCAAAAGCTTAAGCTATTAGGTGAAGACTCAAAAATTATTTTATTACTTTATATTATATTTCTAACAAGAACTATTTGTCTAGGGGAGTGTCTATTGCCTCTGCTATTCTAATAATTTTCATCTAAAACACTAATTTTCTTCCTTGTTAATCAACTATTGATTTAGAGAAATGTTATAAATTTCAATTTAATAAGAGTGGTAATATACACTCCCCTTGTCTATCTGTATATAATTTTTAAGATTCAAATCATTGAAAAGCTACGCCTACTAAGTTAAGGAATCATAGGAGAGATATCAGTAGAAAGCTATTATCCCAAGGTTGCGATGACAATTAAAGGCCTTTGCTTATGCTACAAAGGGATGATGAAGGGGGAAATGAAAAGAGTTGAAAAATAAAGAGGGATAGACATGTCATGCATACCTTGATATAATTCTTGAAATAACTACGGATAGATGGATCAAAGAAGAAAGAATCATTGGACGAGCTTAACCCTACCCCTTCTTGCCATGCCCATTTCACATATTGACTCTTCCCACCATATGCTTGCAAATTATTTACTAAGCTAAGTAGGAGCCTAATTCCATGTTGCTTTGCTTCTGCTATCACATAATCCAGGGCCTGTCCATCAACCCTCAGCATGATTTTCAATCATAAATAAAATAATAGTTCTAAATAATAAACAACTTACCCACACGAGCATAAAGAATAACAGTAGTATGCAACATAAAGAAAAGGGAAATTCAATAAGACATACGTCTCCAAGGCAATCATCATAAACTTTTAGAAGATAATATTGATATGCGTAGCTAGCAAATTTACAATATAAGCACTCATTGCTTCTTTCAGAAACCTTTCAATTTTTCCATCTCCCTCATAAAATGATTACACCGACACCATTTTTGGGACAATTTCACAGTTCATATTGAATCATCTAGCCAATGAACACAATTTTACCACCATAAATAAAAATAGACCATATTTCATTTGATTCTGCTTATAGATACTAACCACAAACAGACACTGCACACCACTTTTTCCTTTTATTCAATCACTTCCAAGGGAAAATGGTATCTCCATTAATTTAACCATAATATTCAGTCCTAAAGACACGGCTATGTCATGATTCGTGTCATATTTTATAACTATCACAACCCAAGACAATTCCTTCCCCAAATTCTGCATATTTTAGTCATCACAACCACACCCCAATCCCAATCTTGCAAACCCCGAAATATTAGGTATACAATAACAAACATTCACCCCCGATTTCAGGAAAGGGGAACAAAAAAAAAAAAGGCAACAAAAAAATATCAATGAAACCAAAACCCCAAAAACCAAAAGCAATTTGGCACAACACCACTCCAAAAACTAAACTAATTCATGTCGGTAACCGTCATGAAACTCAAAATAAGACACACCATAACACAATAACCAAAACCCATGGAGCAAAATGTTACAAAACTAGAAAACCAAGAGGAACAAACAAAATTACCTTGAAAGCTTGTTCATCAAAGTGACCAGGGGAAGTTTGAAGGGCATTGTAGTCCCCATCATTGAACGCCCAAGTTCGACAAACAGTGAGACCCATCTTAGCACCGGTTTTGAGCATTTCACGAACCTTGGATCTCGAATAACCATCCACCGATTGCACCATTAGCCAGTAAGAGTTCCACCCATTCACATAAAACGCTTTTCCATCCAACACAAACTGCGTCCCATTTCTCTCCACAAAACCCAATTCAGGCCCCTCCTCCGAAAAACTGAACTTTATGCCCCCAAAAGACATGTAAATGAAAACCACAAACGACGCAAAACCCAAAATGGGATAAAAGAGGCCATTTCCTGGCACCATAATTTGGGGGCGAAATTCTTATTCCACCGACTGTGGAGGTTCCCGGGTACCCTTTTGGCCCTTTGATCAAAGGGTCACTAATTCAGTGACACTTGACGAAGATTGCTGAACCTCACACCCAGAATTTAGTTTGATTGTTCTTCACACCCCAAATGGTTAAACTGTCTAGATCTCTCTCTCAGACTTGAAAGGCATGAACTTTAATGAGTTTCCCAAAACCCACGACTGAACCCAAAGGGAATGCGTGAAGAAACTTTGGTGGGTTTCTTAAGTTGTTGTAATGAGAAAATTTATAGGGTGAGTTGAGCAGAGGATAATAGTAATAATAATAACTACAAGTACTGTGCATGAAATGATGAATGGTTATGGTTGGGCTTGTGCTCGCAGTTCAACCCCATAGAAGGCAAGGAACTGAAAGAGAATCACATGTTTATCTTCTTTGAAATATAGTCCAACTTAACAGCGATGATTGGGGTTGAAAAAGAGATTAAAGTGAGAATGACGATGACCGTGCGGTGAAATGTTAGCACCGAGTGAAGGAGAAGCATCATGCTTATGCTATGTCCCACTAACCTTAATTCGGTATCAGTAACATCCTAATTAAGAACAAACGATGTTGAATGTCACGTAGTATTAGCATGGATGAATAAACTCAGCTGATTAAAATATTAAGAAAATCTTACTTCTCGCTGCTCCCTATTCAGACTATTCCCATCTGTTTATTGCAAGTTTTTTAATCTTTTTTGGTTAGGGGATTTCCTCAATGCATTTATTGAGTCTTAATTCTGCATTAATGTGATACCTCTAAGCTTTTTTAACGTATTCCACTAATTAAATATGATTTTTTTTACAAAACCTATGTATTAATTCAGTTTTTTTTTCTTTTCATACACATACTTTCCACAATGTCTTAAAGTTTAGTATCTATGACTAATTTGCATTTTTAGAGTATAATTTTTATTAACTAAATACTATTTTAATATTATCAGAGACCGACATCGAAAAACATCGAATTAACACTCATAGCGATATACCTTTAAAAATTATTAGTTTATTATTGATAAAAAAATTATTTTATATTTTATTAATGATAAAAAAATTATTTATAACTCTACTTTAAGGTTATTTTATTTTTAATTTAATATTTTTTAATATTTATACAAATGTTAAAATAACTTTTTTTCTTTCATGTATTATATAAATTCTCATAAATATAGAAAAAATAAATTAAAGTATTTTATGTTATGTAAAAAATAAATAAAAATACATAAAAAAAATGTTTATATTTTCACTTTAAATTAATTAAAATTTAAAATAATGAATAGTGGTAACATTGTTGTTACTAGACTCGATTCACATACACCTTACATGGACGTTTAGGAAAGTGAGACATAGAGAATTTTTATCAATAATCCAATTCGTTGCTTGAATATGAATAATGTGATATTTAAATTGGATAGCAAATTAGTGATAGATAAAATAAGAAATTCAATTATTGTTAAATTCAAACTAAGAGCCTTAGTAGGAGATAGGAGAATTTTATTTTTGTCCCACAAACCAATATATGATGTTGGCATTAACCCATGAACTTGATAGGGTGGCTGCATCTTTACCCGATATCTACACTTTCAATCATTTCCTTGTATTGAGCAATTAATTTTAGTGAAATGATATAAATATATTTCAGTTAAAAAAACTCTTTTCTAACATTTCAATAGTCTACTTTTTTTTCCTAAATAAAAGTGATAGAATCACTAGCATTAACATGATTGTTGGTCTCCCAAGAGTAGGACTTATGATTAAGTCTCTTTGTGCTTATTAGATAAAATTTAGAATCAAATTCCATTTTTTCTAAAAAAATCTTTAAAGAGTTTGATAATTAGTTTTAACTTTATACATGAGATTATATTTTTCTTTAATTTAAACTTCTTGTTAAAAAAATAATTTAACTATTAAAGATTTAAGATAACACGTATAAAGTCTTATATTTGAATGTCATTATTTTTATTAAAAAAAATATGAAGTGGATAAATACTATCATTTTATCTATTTCCAAACTGGGCAGGTAATATATGTGTATGTAACATTCATATTTACTTTTATAATTTTATATAATTTATATTTAATTTGTTAGTCGTTTACTAGTATTTTAATCTATACAATATATATGATAAATATTAATTTTATATAACTAAAATTTAAATAAATAAATAATTTTAACAAAT